CTATAAGCATAGAATTTACGGCTACATATACCCATGTTAACTTAAATGATGACGCCAGTCAAGTCTTTTATGTACCGTGTCCCTTCAAGACGTAGGCGATCATGGCTCTCTACCTCATCCTATCCCTTGCAGTTCTTAATAAGTTTTTTTTTTTTTCTTATTTCCTTTGATTAAATTTCAGTAATTTCTTTAAATCGTTTTTCCATATCGATGTTTATCTGTGTGTATTTTTTCTTTTTAATTGGTTTCAACCCATGCAAGGTAATAAAGCCAGTAAGACACAAGAGGTCTAAAGGATGGGGAAGAATTAGGTATGGAAACATTAATAATGAATGAGAAGAGGAAAGAGTTATCAAGATGAGAGAAGATATCGTTTGAAATTACATTTAAATTTTGCCAGATTAAAGTTGGCTGGAACGCATGTAGCCGGAAGGGAATTCCACAAGCAAGAAGTGCGATAGACGAAACTGTTAGCATAGAATTTACAGCCAGCTTAACTTTAAATTGATGACAATTCGACGCCAGTCTAGTGCTGCGCTTAAATTAAAAAATTCTAGGTACCATAGCGAAGAGCTCATCCGATTACACACACACACACACACATATATATATATATATATATATATATTATAAATTGATATATTGGATGAGCTCTTCGATATATATATATATATATATATATATATATATATATATATATATATATATATATATATATATATATAAATAAATTGATTGATTTAAAATATGGTTTTTTCGCTACACAGTTCTAACCATGTTTCAAAAATGGAAGCTAAAAAGCCCCGAAATTAATTTTGTAAATACATTAAAGACGTTAGTTCCATTTCATCCTCAAGCGAATTTTTGGGGTAACTTTTAAAATTACTGGGTTTTTTAAAGACACAGCTAAAAAAACACAATTCACGTTTCCAAGGTTACAGATAAAATCCATTCAACCAGACTAGGGTTGTTTGCGTGTTCATTATCGCTGTATTTTGATGTATCAGTTATTAGTTACGTTTTGGTAGGGGTAGGGATGTATTTTCACTTTCTTTATATATATATATATATATATATATATATATATATATATAAATATATATATATGAAGAAAAAATATATACAGAAAAAAAACAAACAAAAATCCTTATATACAATTTATACTGTTTTAATGTTAATATGTCAACGTTGGACGTTTCGGTCTAATAAACCATCTTCAGGACATATTCATAAATTATAACATTATCAATACAACATGACAAAGACGATGTACATAAGAACAAGACTTATCCAAACAGAATAACTGAAAGTTTTATAAGATCCGCGCTATGTGTGTGTGTGTATATATATATATATATATATATATATATATATATATATATATATATATATATATAATCGGATGAGCTCTTCGCTATAGTAACTATTTATATATATATATATATATATATATATATATATATATATATATATATATATATCAGTACAACCCCATACAAGGGGGTAAAGCCGCTAAGACACTGGGTGTGAAAGAATCAGGTACAGAAACATTATCAATGAGCGGGAAGAGAAAAGAATAATCAGGAGGAGTGTAGATAGCGATTGACATTGTATTTAAATTCCGGTAGATTCAAATTGGCTGGAACGCTTGGAGCCGAAAGGCTGTACGACAAGCGAAAAATTCCGAGATGGGAACTTAGCATAGAATTTACGGCTACCTCTAGGAAGCCCAACCGTAAATTGATGAGATCTCGGCTCCAGTCATATGAATATGAAATAGATATGAAACAGAATTTTATTTATAAAATAGAATTTAATGTCTATTTCATTTAAGATAAATAATTCTACAAGTTTCACGATGTGTACTCGTCAATAAACGAAGTACTTAGGATGATGAGAGGACAAGGAATAATAACTAATGAAGTTACGATCTGTTAATCTATTCTCTGTGAGATTACTTGGGGGAGCAGCGGTGTGATCTTCGCGATTGTTCGATTAATTAGATTTGATTTTTGACGGTTTATCAATCCTCTATGTGTGATGTAAAGCCAAACACACATTTTCTGTGCACGATAATATTTACGACACCCGCACTTCTCATATCAATTACTTCCTCTTCTCTGTGCCATGTACCTTCAGGACATGGACGAACATAGTACTCCAGCACATCCTTCCCTTTGTAACTGTCAGTAACGTTTGCCTTTTCTCATTACAACCAGTTATGTTCTGCTATCCATGGACACATGCCTATTATGTAGGTTACTCACTGTATCCTTCTGTTCAGGTTCCTGTTTAGTCCAAGGAATTCTCAGGACGTAGGTGATCATAGCTCTCCACAACTTCCTATCGTTTGTAGGTTTTAACAATTTTTTTCAGTATCTAGTAATATCTTTTCTGAGGTATTTACACAAGAGCTTTGGTTAGGTTATTCTTTGTATAGCTCTGTCTCTCTTTCATTCAATATGTTCTGAGTGTTAAATTTTCTAAGCACTCCTTCCATACTATATGCCCCAGAAATTGCGTCTCCGTGGTTTTATGTATGATTACCATTTTTATTTTCCCTAAACGACTTCAATGTTTACATAGTCTGTCCACGGTATTCTAAGCATCCTTCTCTAGAACCATGCTTCCGTTGTTCCAGTGGTTTGATTTGGTTTGGTTTGGTTTGGTTGGTTTGTTTCACGTCATATCAACCTCAATGGGTTATTTAATGCCGACAAGATTTTTATTGCTGGTAATATCTATCTATCTATCTATCTATCTATCTATCTATCTCAATGTATATTGGTTTAGTTTGATTTGTTTTACGGCATATCAACGTCAATGGCTTATTTAATGCCGACAAGATTTTTATTGACTATCTAACTATCTATCTATCTATCTATCTATCTATCTTAGTCTCTTCATATCTTGGTCTTTTTATATCTATCTATCTATCTATATATATATCTATCTATATTGGTTTAGTTTGATTTGTTTTACGGCATATCAACCTCCATGGGATATTTAATGCCTACAAGATTTTTTATTGCTGGTAATATATATATATTTTTTATCCATCTATCTATCTATCTTGGTCTCTTCATATCTATCTATCTATCTATCTATCTATCTCAGTATATATTAGTTTAGTTTGGTTTGTTTTACGGCATATCAACTTCATTGGATTATTTAATGCCGACGAGATTTTTATTGTTGGTAATATTTTTTATCTATCTCTCTATCTGTCTGTCGGTCTGTCTGTTTGTCTGTTTCTCTTGGTTTTTCATATCTATTCAGCTATCTATTAATGTATCTCAGTATAGCTTGGTTTGTTTTGTTTTACGGCATATCAACCACTATTGGTTATTTAATGCAGAAAATTTTTATTGTTGATAATATTTTTTCCTTCAAAAATGTTCAGCTGGTAATGTTTTTTTAAATGCATTACTGGTAATAAATGTTCTTCAAAAATTCATTGCTCATATTAATTTTTGACTAAGTATTTCTGGTATTAAACCTATTTTTGCATTTCGATAGTGTTTTGACCCCATTTTGGAGGTTAACTTTTTACCTATAGCTGGAACCCTAACCAGTGTTACCACCCCGGGTCAGCTAAGACCTGTGAACACCAGCAATTAAGAGGTGGTTCTATGCTCCTCAAACCCTCCTGATCCATGGCTTTACTGTTGGACGTAGTTTATCGTCTAACCCAGGACGCGGATGTAGTTTATCGTCATACACAGGACGCGGATGTAGTTGACTGTCTTACCCAGGACGCGGATGTAGTTTATCGTTATACCTAAGACGGCCGTTGTCACATGTTTTCTCAAGTTTTCTCTTCACTTGGGAAGAAATTACCTAGTATTTACAGTCGTTAAAGAGTACGGCGGTCAAAATTCTCAGAAAAAAATTACAACCTTGAAGGTGAAAATAGAAAAAAAAAAGCTGATTTTTTACACTCTGCGCAAAAACCTTTGACAAAAATTTATGTGTATAAAAAACAGCGTACAATCAATTTAGAGATTTTGAAATCTAACGCAAAAGATTATTAGAATTTTGAAAAAAGTATATCATAAATAAAAATTATCGTATATTATTATTATGACGGTCCATGGAAGATATTCCTTCTTTGCCCTGAAATGGCCATATCCCATTGATATTTTTAACACCCCAACCATTTGGGGATGTGCCTCAGTTGCACCCAATTGTTTTTATTAATATTGTTTTTTTTTTGGTGGGTTGACATTAAACTGCTCCAATTGAACGGCAAAAATTCCCAGTAATGAAAAACCTGGTCGAAGACGGGTTATAACTGCTATTTTTTTTTCTTAAATCTTTGGTTCATTTTTGCAAGGTGTCATTGCCTATTCCAGCGGGCCTTCTGATTTAGGTCTCATATCCTCCGCCATCTTTTTGAACACTTGCGGGATATTGAATCTTCTCTACTCAGTTCATTTGGACGTCCCAAATTGCTGTCTCACATACTGAGATTTTTGCTTCCCTTGCTGACAATTATACATTCTATCTTTTTTTTAAATTTTTCTTTTTACAACTGATGTTTATTCTTAGCTGGATCTTAGTGGAATCACTCTCGAGAAAATGTGATTTAATTGGCGGGACGTTGCTCTTTTGCAAATAACAATTGACAGGCTACACTGATTTATATCTTAAGGGAAAGAATGAATAATCTTTGAACTGATCTACAATAGATATGGATTTTCGATTAATTTAAATGCAGATAGATTTCTTTGTATGCGTAGATTAATTAATTGTATTAAAAAGAATAACATGTCTGTCCAGAGGCAAGGGGAATACATTGACTTTCCCCTTGGCGGCTGGTAGTTAATATAAAGGATTTCAGACGATTGCTAAATGTTAACATTGTATGTTGATTTTCTGTTTGAATTTCTGGCATGAGGAATTATTATTTACACTCAGACTAATATCCTCATCTTTGTTGTTATTATCACCTAGTCGTCTTCTGTCTAAAGTTCTGAAACGAGGAATTGATATTATTTACATTGCTTACATTCAGATTAATATCCTCATCTTTATTGTTATTTTTTATCCCCCATTTGCATTCTGTCTGAATTTCTGGAATAAGGATTGATTATTACTTACATTCATTACGTTCTGATTAATGTCTTCATCGTTATAATCAGGAGATTTCAGCCATTATATCACCGGATTTTTTTCAGGTGTTTCTGGATCCCTCCGAACTGAACCTTTTATTCAATTTATGAGGATAGATTGTTCTCCTTCTGTTTTTCATGTCTACGAAAATCTCATTTTATTTACTAGGTGTTTTCTCCATCATATATTTGTCATTCGCATTGAGAATGCTGACGATCCTGATTCTCTAAAATTTGCTGACATTTTTAGCTTTTTTTTTTTTAATTTGGTCTTTTCGCCTCGGTCTTAACACCTGTTCTAAACATTTACACAAATTCCTTCTTGTACTTCTTCTTCAATGTACCTTGCCCCTAAAGGACATTGAGGATCGAGTCTTTCTACAATTGTCTGTTCTTTGTAGCGCTTAGGATTTTTTTTTCTTTTTGCTATCTCTCCTATACACGGTTCTGCCAACCATTTAAATAAAATCATTCTTAACTTCTTCTTTTACTTTTATTATCTCCTTTTTCTTTTTACATCTTCATCTTTTTCTTTTTCTATTTCTTCATTTTACATCTTCTTCTTCTTCTAATTCTTCTTTTTACATCTTCTTCTTCTTGTTCGTTTTCTCCTTTTTACTTCTTCATCTTCTTCTTCTATTTCTTCTCTTTAAATCTTCATCTGCTTCTATTCCTTCTTTTTACATCTTCATTTTCTTCTTCTTCTTTTTCTTCTTTTTACACCTTCTTTTTCTTCTTTTTCTTCTTTTTACATCTTCATCATCTTTTTCCTCTTCTACTTCTTTTTATATCTTCGTCTTATTAATATTATTATTACTATTATTATTTTTATTTTTCTATGTGGCATGTTCCTATAGGAAGTTGGCGATCATGGCTAGCAACAATTTTGGAAAATTAGCAAATTTTGACCTTTTGCTCTCTCTCCTACTCCCTCTTCAGCTAAACATTTAAACAAGCTCCTTCTCCTCCTCCCTCTCCTCATCCTCCTTCTTTTTCTCCTCCTCCTCCCCATCCTCCTCCTCCTGCTACTTATTCTTCTTCTATATGCCATGTCCCTTCAGGACTGTGACGATTCATTTCCTGTCCTTTGTAGATTTTAATATTTTTGACTTTTTTGCTGTCTCCAAATTCTTATTCTACCAACCATTTACACAAGCTCGTTAGTTATGCTATGCGATGCATTCCTCTAGCCCTCTGCCTTCAATATGTCTTGTGTGAGTCAAATTTTCTAAGCCTTCTTTCCTTATTATCTGATGTAAAATATATACTTCCGTTTTGTTTCCATTTCCTCTAAAACTTCGTCCCATGGTATTCTCAACATCCTTCTGTAGAACCCCATTTCGGTTGCTCCATGTTTCTGCTTCATCTGCGAGAAAAATGTGGAACATTCACTTCCATATAGAAGGAACGCTATACAGAACAGTTCAGTATTGTTCCTGTTGTTTCTAATGCAATTTTCCTGTTTTTTAATACGTTACTTAGCTTGTATCCGGATTACCCGACAGTTCTAGCAGTTTTTTGATGCAATTGTGTTTTTCTTTATTTCAACATTAGCCGACAGAAGGAACTGCTAGATAATCTAATATCGGGAAAGGATATTGCAATAATCTAGAACTTACACTGGCAGCAAACAGCCTGCATACGGGCAGAAAATGAATTCAGCAAATATACAAAAACAGAAAGGAGCGTAAGGCAAAGATGTAAGCGAATTAGAAGACCTCTCAAGATTTATTGATGGCGGCTGCAATATTAATTGCATAAAATATGCAGATGATACCGTGTTTATAGCAGATACAGAAATGAAACTAAAGGAACATCTGCAGAAGGTAGTGAAGGAAAGCGAGAATAAAGGACTAAACAAAAGTTGCAAGAAGACAGAATACATGTTTTTCAGTAAAAGGAACCACCTAACATGCAAATTATAATTTGGAGATGACAATATCAAACAAGTACAACAATATAAATCTCTGATTCTACAGTTTAAATTTCTAAACAATAGTTATTTATTTTTGTCACGTAAAAATATCTAGAACAATAAATAAGTTAAAACATATATATATATATATATATATATATATATATATATATATATATGTGTGTGTGTGTGTGTGTGTGTGTGTGTGTGTGTCTATGTATATGTATCTACATATGAAATATACTGTCGACAACCTACCGTCACACCTGCTCCAATTTCTTCCAAGTGAGGTGGGTTGCTAGCAACAACATAGGATGAAAAATATGACCTAACAAAGAACGGAAGAGTTCTTGCCGAGTCAGCGGCCAGCTAATGAGAGGTAGTGTTTCAATAAAAACACCGTGGAGAAGGCACCTGGAAAACACACCACTATCAATCCCAGGGACATTAGTGACTCTAGATAAGTGTTATTTTACTACTGGTTTTTTGGGGTTTTTTTCTTGTTTTTTTTTTTTTTAAATCTGTGAAGCGTTAGTGAATTATTTGGTAGAACACTTGTGTGTTGTTGTTTCCCGTTGTGATGGAAAAAAGATTAATCTATAACAGAAACGCTTAAAAACAGTATTCTATGAACAACCACATTACTAGAAGATTCATAATTTGTAAGCTTTCTCTATCCCGCATACGTATTTAACAGTAATTGTGATACAGCGTTGAAATCGACACAACTCTGACATAAACATCGACCAATTTGATATCTGATGATTCTTTCAATTTACTAACTCTCCAGCTTTACCTATTATCCGAAATTCCGCTCAGAAAGCCTAATGTACACCTTTCTCCTTAATAATATTATCTATCAAAACCACATTTATGCAATTGTTTAAGTAGATAAAAGTTTTTAATATTTTTTTGATTTTCTGGAGAGAGTTGCTTTCTTTTTAATAATATTTTAAAAATTCACATTTAAATCAATATTTTTATTCATTTTTTACAGTGTCTTTGAAAGGCTTAGGAAGAAGTAAAACTCATCTGTCTAAATTCTTCGAGTAAATTAACGGATCTGTTTTGAATGTCCTTTACGCGCGACTACGTTTTCTACTTCAACACGACTTAACGTTCTCTCTACAAGCCTAACTCGCGCGTGCGCATTCATTGCGAAAGTTTCCGTTCTGCAAAATGTTCCGGAAAATGAAACAATGCCAAAGAGTTTGACTGATGCACAACCGTCACCTAAGAAACCTGTTGGTTATTTAATGCTGAAACCCTCCAGCAACGCTGGGTCCGAACGAACCAATCAGAAATTAGATTAGCACGCATGCGCTTTTCATTGCATTTGTTTGGCTCGTATTCGTATTTTTTCTCCTTAATTGTTGTTCATAAATGCAAAAATGTTCCTAACCAATAAGTTAACTTTACTGGGACATGCGCAGTACTCCGGCTTAAGCCAAAATATCCGGCGCTGAATTAATTTAATTCCGATTTAAATCGCAGAGGCGATCAATATTTCCAAAAAAGAAATCGCTTGTGTAAAGATAAGAGAACGCTTATTTTGGTATGTAGTAAATCCTTTCAGGGCGAAAGTGATCATTGCTCTGCAAAACTTTCGGGGATTGTTTTTGCAATTTTTTAACCTTTTATTATACCTCTTTTTTTTATCTAAACACCATCTATTCGTAACAATTATTTTTTCTTTTACCTTCCATTTATTCTTTGAGCGCTAAAAACACTTTTCTCATAATGTGTCCCAGAAATTTCAGCCGAATCAAGTCGATCATAAGTTTAAGTCTCACTGATGCTTCCATTTTCTTAAAGACTTCTCCGTTTCTTCCTTTCTCTCCGTTGTATTCTTAGCATTCTGTCACTTCATTCTCTTTTTTTATCAACAGGGTACGGACAGAATTTAGTAAGATTAGTAAAAAAACAAGTAACAAATAAATATAATTATATTTGATTACAAACGAGTAAACATGGAATTTAACTATTATTTAATTTTATTCAATAAAACTACTACTAACATCAATAATTGCCTCTACACGATGTCAGAATCGGTTGCAAGTTCTGATAAATTGGTCCTTATTTATATCAGACATTACTCGAACTATTGCAGTTTTAAGAGAGTATTTGGTGTTATGAGGCTGTTTATTAACCTCCTTCTCAACAACGCTCCACACACAATAGTCTAGTGGATTGAGATCTGGAGAGTTACGAGGCCAAATGTTGGGTGTGATGTGCTCGTACAAATGGTCAGCCATCCATTCTTGTGTTCGTAGAGCCTTGTGGGATGGAGCCGAGTCTTGCTGGAATATGTAAAACCTGCTGTTGCATATGTTGTCAATCCAGGGCTTGACAACTGTTTGTAGAACATCAATGTAAGCAGCATCATTTACTCTAAGACCTTATTGGAAAAAGTGTAGTGGTATAACATGTCTTTCATTGCTAACAACACCCATATACCATAACACTTGAAGGAAATTTTGTGCGCATAAGTCTTGGCACCTCAGAAGAATCTGAAAAAACCAGCTGTCATTTCTTATGTTAAGTTTTTGATCTTGACCAAAATATTTCTCATCTGAGAAAAACCAAATCCCACCAGTTTCTGAAGGATTTTTTAAGTTTGTTTAAAAGCCTTTTGGATCTGTTTAAACGGTTTGTTTTTTGGGGTTTTTTTTTTTCAGACATAAATTGACCTCTCTTCATCACGTAGGACTTGTATAGAATGTCTTCATGAATTCCTTCTGATTGTTTTTTCAGACATATGCAGCTTTTTGGCAATTGACCTCATTGATTTGACCTCGGTTTTCATTAATTGTCTGCTTGAATTCCTGAATAAATTTCGATGTTCTCACTTAATCAAAACGTGCACAGACATTGGGGAACTGTCAACGTCTTCTAACTCTTTTCGTATCTTGTGGACAAACGATCTTCCAACTCTGAGGAAACGTGCAATATCCAAATTGTTATGATCAGCCTTTAATGCCACAATCACAGCATGCCTTTTCATTTCATTTGTTGTCATAGGGTTTGACATTCTTGATTTCTGAAAAATAAAAGCATTAGAATTTAGTGGGAAGCAGTATTAATCTTAAATCTGTATGTCCTCAAATACCAGCCGCATCCTGTCCAATGTAATTGTCCACCATTCAATGTATTATTATATATTATATAGCAGTTCAGTCTTTTAAAAATTTTCTAACGATATTTTCATATGTTTCCGGAATGCATGTTTCGTTTTTCATAGGCACCTTCGGAGATTTAGGTTACTGCTATATAGGAATTAAGTGTCGCTGCCGTCACATCAGTTTGAACATAGATCGCCAGAGAACAAACACAGGCGACCCCATTATTGAATTCAGTAGACCACGTGACCATAAAGGAAACGCATAAACAGAAGGATATGTGACATTTAAATGTTTGTTATTTCTATTCTATCCTTTATTACTATTAAGTTCATTACTTCTAGTCTATCCCCTACTAATATACGGACCGCTATTCTTTATACTGTTTCTCTATTCGGATCGCTATTTGATGGTTAATATTCAAGCGAGTTTTATCGAGGATGTACTATTAGTGCGAGTGTTATTCGAAGGCGTCTGGCACCAGTATTGTTCAACGACATTACTATAGTTGTATCTGCAATTACAAAGTCTCTACTACAACGAGCATTACGAAAGTGGCAATGAGTGTTCACTGACATCACAAAAGGTATAATTCTCTTTGTTACTAGAGTATTCAGAGAGATCAATTTCGATGCCTGATTGATTGAGCTGACTCCCTTTTTGCAGTTGCCCATGCATTCTGTCTTTTTTAATAATTAATAGTTAGTCTTTTCTTATTGTTTTCCATCACTCCTTGGACACTTTCTGAGTCGACCATAAACACAGTGTCACGATTATGCCCTATAATAATAATAAAAAAACTGATAGGTCTCCTAGTTCTCACAGGATAGTCTCGCTATATCTGATTCTTGCATGTGTCGTGTCTCTTCAGGACGTGAATAATCATGGCTCTCAAAAACTTCCGATCTTTTGCTGCACTTAATAAGATATTTCTTTTTTCACCATCCCTCCTACACTAATATCCATTAACACATGCTTGTTGTTTACGGCCATATCACGTTGAAACAATGGTTCTCATTCTGATTTATTAGCGTGAAAATCTATCTATCTATCTATCTATCTCAGTATATATTGGTTTCGTTTTGTTTTACGGAATATCAACAAGGTGCTATTTAATGACGACAATGTTTTTTGCTAGTAATATTTTTTATCTGTCTGTCTGTCTGTTCATATCTGTCTATCTATCTGTCTATCGATCTATCTATCTATCTGTGTGTCTGTCTATTCATATCTATCTATCGATCTATCGATTTATCTATCTATCAATCTGTCTGCCTGTCTGTCTGTCTGTATCTATCTATCTATCTATCTATCTATCTGTATGTCTGTTCATATCTATCTATCTATCTATTTGTCTGTTCATATCTATCTATCTATCTATCTATCTATCTATCTATCTGTCTGTATGTCTGTTCATATCTATCTATCTATTTGTCTGTTCATATCTATCTATCTATCTATCTCAGTATATATTGGTTTGGTTTGTTTTACGGTATATCAACATCAATGTGCTATTTAATGACGACAATGTTTGTTGCTAGTAATATTTTTTATCTGTCTGTCTGTTCATATCTATCTATCGATCTATCGATTTATCTATCTAACAATCTGTCTGCCTGTCTGTATGTCTGTTCATATCTATCTATCTATCTATCTATCTATCTATCTATCTATCTGTCTGTCTGTTCATATCTATCTATCTATCTATCTATCTATCTATCTGCCTGTCTGTCTGCCTGTTCATATCTATCTATCTGTCTATCTATCTATCTATCTATCTATCTATCAGTCTTTCTGTCTGTTCATATCTATCTATCTATCTATCTATCTATCTGTATGTCTGTCTGTTCATCTCTATCTATCTATCTATCTATCTATCTATCTATCTATCTGTCTGTCTGTCTGTCTGTTCATATCTATCTATCTATCTATCTATATGCCTCTGTCTGTCTGTCTCATATCTATCTATCTATCTATCTGCCTGTCTGCCTCTATCTATCTATCTATCTATCTATCTATCTGCCTCTGTCTGTTCATATCTATCTATCTATCTATCTATCTATCCTGTCTGTCTGTCTGTTTCATATCTATCTATCTATCTATCTATCTATCTATCTATCTATCTATCTGCCTGTCTGTCTGTCTGTCTGTTCATATCTATCTATCTATCTGCCTGTCTGTCTGTCTGTCTGTTCATATCTATCTATCTATCTGCCTGTCTGTCTGTCTGTCTGTTCACATCTATCTATCTCTCTATCTATCTATCTATCTGCCTGCCTGTCTGCCTGTCTGTTCATATCTATCTATCTATCTATCTATCTGTATGTCAGGCTTATGGCAATATCTTGTTAAAACAATAAACAGCAATGTAATAATAATAATAATAATAATAATAATAATAATAATGTTATATCAACATCAATAATCATTTTACAGAAAATTATATCGGGGTGACCTCGAATACAGATCCTGTATTATCATCATTGTTACTATTGAGTTCCTGAACAGCACACATCAACGTGAGACTGGTTAAAATTATTATTATTATTATTATTATTATTATTATTATTATTATTATTATTATTATTAAGATCAATCTAATGGAGCATGAAGGGAATTTATGAAGAAAATATATGCTCATCGTCTTTTTACTTTCAGTAATCTTTTGTTCAAAAATTAATGTCAGTCTCTGTCTTCCTAATTCCTGTTCTTTTATTGTTCTCACTCCTTTGTAATGTTTATGTCATATCTTCTCACACTTAGTAACCCCACCTTGCATCTTTGTGGCTTTATTGTCTTGCTTGGGGTGAAGTGATAACAAAAAGTAAACCTGACTAGCTTTGGTAATGATTAGCTTGCACAGAGGCGCATCAAAATATTGCAGTAGGAAATTTTAACATAATTTAACAAAATCTTGGCTCTTGTTTTGTTTCGAACTTTTCATGTGAGATACGAAACGCAAAATTACACCCATTTATAGAATCAAATCGCATCCGACCGACCGACAATTGACAATGGTAATGGTATTATTAGGAGTTTCCCTATAAGGAAACATTTAGCATTCATTGACTTAGTAACTACTACTGCTTTCGGTTGTGATTTATAAAGACTTTCTCTTATGACATTTTTTCAGGGAAATATTTTTCTCAAGTCCATTATCTGTTATTGATCTTTCCCGTACTAATGAGATTTCCTTCCCAAATTTAACTTTGAAAATATTGTGGAACGTTAACATTTTAATAAATTTCATTATCTTCTCTTCGAGTTACACGTGTTATCTATTTTAGTTGTTGCTGCTGTTGGTAGTCTTCAAATGATGCGATTTCTTTTATTTGGTACAATTCTTTGTTTGTGATTTTGTAGCGCCAGTCTGCAATGTTGAAAGACTGATATAAGTAGTGTTATCAAGACAAATATCTATACCTATATGTATGAAATAATAGTACCGGCATGACTGAATAATTTCTATCACCCACCTCAATCAAGAAAACTGCATAATTCGTTCGGTACACTTACGAGTTTTTTTCAAATAATTTTCTTTATCAGAATGAAATAAATATTCCCGGCGGAATGTTTATTTGAACCGGAACGCTTATTTCATAACATGTTAAAATTCCCACAAGCACGACTATTCTGAACGGGGTTCGTATTTTAAGGGAGGTCGATTGCTAACTTGTCCTGTAGACGATCGCGTGTGAATTTCATTCGATCATCTTTAAACGCACCATATTGATAGCATTGTACATTACTATGATGTTCTGACTTGAAATTGCTAAATAAAATAATGCCATATATGGGCCTGGATTCAGACAGAAAGAAGTGATTTCATCTTCCCGGAATCGATCATAAGATTCGATGATGTTGAATTAATAAACACTAAAGTCTTTAAATACATCGGTGTCTGGATCAGTCATAACAAATTTATGAGTATATTTCGTTTATATTGAACTGTTACGTCATATCTGTCCTTCTGGACAATCTCCTCGAAGATGGAGAAGATACTTCCAGCAACAGAAATGTGGTTCTACAGAGAGAGGCTGAGGAAACCTCGTGCCGATTATGCGAACTTGACGAGGTTTTAGATAAAATAGAAACAAAAAGGAGACCTATTTAATATCATCAAGAGTTAGTTGAAGTTTCTGGGGCGCGTATTGAGGAAGGAGGGCTTGGAAAATCCGACACTCAGGAGGCAAGAGAGACTGAGGAAATCATCGCGTAACATACTTGACGAGCTTGAGCAAGTCGATCGTAGACCAAGGTTTGGGAAAAATAACAAAAAGACAAAACTTATTAAGCACTACAAGGGACAGGAAGATGTGGAGGGCCATGATCGCCTACGAAGGGAGGTGCACATAAAAATAGTATAAGAAACAACGAAATTGACACAAAATTGCTATAGAGATAGGTTCGCTGAACAATGCAAACTGCTTCAAAACCGAAGAATTCACAGAAAAAATTGAGTCCTGCTCTTAAATATTTCTAGAGTTTGGTGTGGAAACGGCGCCCCAAAAAATGCATCTCTAATCACTCTATTATTTAGAGTATTAACCTCTTAACCGCTACCGTTACTCTGTAATCTTCAACCTCGAGTGGCTCTTGGGCCTTGCACAGGGTGAATTCTATTGTCAAAATATACAGATACCATACAGTAGCAAAGACTCATTCAGAAATTAGCTAATTATAACATGTAGAAGATTCTTCTTCCAACGTTGTAGCTCGGCGCTACATAATCAACAACAAAGTGCTGTACCAGATAACGAAAACCAATTAAGATATCGACCGTCTACAATATCCCATGCAAAAGGTTAGAAAGGAACTTACCATCAACATCAAAGTTAACGGATATTAGAAAATTATTTGCAGCGAAAGTAACACTAGTCGGTTAATGAATGCAAATTTTCTTCTCATAAGGAACCTGCAAATATTAATATTCCGACTAGAGACAGGTAGAACTGATACTACACTTTGATCCCAGCATAATGGCTAGGAAGTGAAGTAACATCTGTTATAGTCCCAGCTATGGGCAAATAGTGAAGCTAAACAAAATCAAAGCACTTTGAAAGAATAACAATACACTTTTATAGTAAAAATTCCAGCAATATATATTTTTTTACATAAAAAACGACCAATACATTTTTATAGTAAAATGCCCAACAATCCATATATATACCAAACATATCTAACAGTACAAATTGTTATGGTCCAGGTAGGACCAAGGAAGAACAACACGAACACAAGAGTAGAAATAACGAAGGTATATTACACGAAATAATAATACAAGATGTGAAAGGTGTTAGTATGTCTGTCAGTCTGATTTGGAGTGAACTACTATCGGCTCGACCCGATTCGATATTTACTTGCCCCCCTCACGAGGGAAAGATGTGGCACAAGACCGAGTTTTACGTAGGTTTTCCGAGCCCGTAGGCTCGGCCAAAAAATGCCCCTAGAAACTGTAAAAACAGAATCGGGTTGGTCAACCTCCCTGAACGAGACTCTGCCCTTCGGTGGAGCCTCGTCCAGGTTCCTATCTGCTCAGAGGCAGAGAGTTCAACCGTCAAGCCGAAAAGCTCGGCTTGATTTGGTATCTTCTTTTTATTACTTCAAAACTTCCAAGAAAATTAAATGATCCCAGCACAATGGCTAGAGAGTGAAGTGCATATTAACTCGAGTAGCACTGGCTGCTTATTTAATAAATGCTGAAATTTTCCTTGTGAAGATATTAATAATATTACCATTACCTTTCAAGGCTAAGAGAACAGGTACAACACTTTGATCCCGGCACGATGACCAAAGAGTGAAAAAATGTCAGTCTCAGTCAATGAATGGCAAATATTTCTGTTGTGGATTCCATGAATGGAATGCTGCGCAAATAAATAAATAACGTCTGTAATTGACACAGAAAAGTAAGTGTATTAAAGAATACAGACTTGAAGTGAAGATTAGTAATCCAGGAATGCGGGTTAGTAGTAAGTAAAGCCGTAATCATCTCTCTCTCTCTCTCTCTCTCTCTCTCTCTCTCTCTCTCTGGACTCTTGTATAACTGAGAACAACCTGTGTCTGTCTCCGTATCTCTTAACCTATCTCCACGTATCTCAACGTATCTCAATATTTAACATTCCACCCACGAGGAATATATGTGGCACAAGGCCGAGTTTAAAGTGGGTTTCTCCGAGCCCGTAGGCTCGGCCAAAAATGTAGCCTTTGAACCCGCCTAGACAGATTCAGGGCTTGTCTACCTCCCCGGACGAAACCTTGCCCTTCGGCAAAGCTTCGTCCGGGTTCCTCTCTGCCAAACCAGAGAGATCGACAGACGTCGAGACTGTATCTTGGGTCTCAACCGCAGGTATTCTCTCTGTCAGTATAAGTATACTTTGGACGAGTCCATCTTATGTAAAAAGGGGAGAGCCCCACAACAGTTTCTTTATAAAGAAACCAAAATAATTTCATTTTTGACGAAAAAATATACCGCACTTGGTATTTGCTCGTCACAGTGTTGAGATTATGCCACAAAACAGATTTAAAGTGGAGAGCTCAAGTGCATGCATCTTAGCCAAAGCCAAAATTGCCCAGTCGTACTAGCAATCAATGGACCCATAGTCTTTAGAACCATGAAAAGGCAGCTAAGAAAACCCAGGGACCAGACATACTTCACTGATTTTTTTGTGTAGTTTATCCGAAACAGAAACACAACTGAGAGTAAAAATGTATTCCCCACCTCCCTGTTCGAAGACAGATACTACACTTTGATCCCACCCAATGGCCAGGGACTGAAGAAATGACAATTTCGAGAAGCACTGGCTTTTCGGTCAATGAATTCCGTATATTTCTTTATAAGGGAACGGCTAAATATTACAATATGCTGACGAGAAGATAAGAGCATATGTTAATTTTTGAGTGGATATTGGTAGACATATTCCTTTGTTTAGTCTCCGGCGCAAGATCTTGGTTGTTCCGCTGACAAGGCATAAATATGGCACGTCTAGATCATTTTTCGTATTGATTACTTACTGTTCAACTGTCTGAGTCTGTAGTGATGGACTCACGGACTGAAGTCAAAACTTATCTCGTCAAATTCTCGATTCAACTCGTTACTTTACATGATAGATAGATAGATAGATATATAGATAGATAGATAGATAGATAGATAGATAGATAGATAGATAGAGAGAGAGAGAGCAGACTGGGATAGATAGAAAGAGAGAGAGCAGACTGCATAGATAGATAGATAGATAGATAGATACGTATAGACTGTGATAGATAGATAGATAGATAGATAGATAGATACGTATAGACTGTGATATTAGATAGATAGATAGCATACTAGGATAGATCGATAGATAGAGAGAGGTAGA